AAGAAAACAACCAGTTTAAAAATTTTACGAATATCGTGATTCCCTCCTTTTAACTATTATTTACAACATATATTATTTATAAGTGTATCTTTCCTATGAACTTGACCTTTAAGTATATACATTTACATGTAATTTTGTATATTTGACACAAAACAAGAAATAAATAAATATCAGTTCCAAAGGACTGATATCCTTTACAAAGATCCTAAAAGAAAAATTTTCTAGGAAATAATCGAATCAATCAAAAAACCAAGTTTACATGAACTGGTATTTCTGAGTCTTTAAAACACTTTCATATAACAGTTAAGGATGTATTCACTATTACAAAAGAGTTGACCTATAGGAGAGAACAATTTCCCGGAAAAAGTGACATTTAAAAATCAATCTTTATTTGTTGTTTTCTACCATATATATGTCTAAATTTTTCAAATTTGTATTTTACAACAAAAATTTATTATTTACAACTATACAATAAACCTCCAAAGTTGGCGGAAACACCATTTTGTCCGTTAAAGAGTTGATTCTTGCATGAATTTTGGCCTAGAAGTCCTTCAGGGCAGACCTGCCCCTAAATAAAATTGTGATATTTTGATAGGTTGGGATGTAAGGAATAATTTAAGATAAGATTTTTTTAGGGGCACCCCTGCCCTATGGTCGAAATTCACAAAAAACCTACAAAAAATAAGTAAACTTGATTTTGACAATCTGCTTCAAATTTATACCGGTCAAAATTATAGTCAGAATAGCTCATTTGATATATGCGCTGACTTTTATATCGTGGGTACCTTCTTTTTAGAGTAGGGGGTTCGAATCCACCTGGTGCCACACTTTTATAGTTTTAAATTTTCGCCTTTTCAAAGACTATTTTAAATTTTTTATAGGCTTGTGTATTTTCCTTCAATTATCTATCCTTTATGCATTCCCATTCTTGATATAAGAAACATTAGAGAGAGATCAAATCGTAACAATCCAATATACTGTTGTCAGTCAGGCGGAACAAATCTCGGTATAAGCACACTTTCTCCGAGGACAAGAATAACTCACTCTGTGTTACTCGATACAGATATTCTCGGCAGCATTGAGCTGCGATGAATTTCAATTGTATATATTCCTTAGAATTTAATCACATTGCTTTTATTCTGTCTGTGCTACTAGTGCTTGTCTGGGTTACATGTAGTATGTTACCTATTGCTTGAATTATTTGAGCTTAATAATATTTAGAATAACATACATGTACTTTTGTTTTCAGTCAATGTTCTAAGATCTTAAGTTTTGAAACAGTAGGGCTACATATATATCACTAACTGTACTCCCTTGGATTTTATTTAGGCCTATATGATTTGCACACATTAATGGCATGTCTTTATTATATCCAAAGGAAATGTTTTGTAAAATAAATAGCCTAGACATAAAAAAACAGAGTTCCAGAGACAGTAGACATCACCATTATGTACAATGAGAAGTAAAGACAAACATCAATTATTAAATTTGGAGATAACAAACGCAGAATATCAATGAAAGTGTTCCTTCTACCTCTACTCACTGAAATAAAGATTTATGAAAAACAAATTGTTACATGTATTCAGCCTAATGTCATTAATCGGAACGGAAATCGACAAGCTTTTTGTAGAGAAAAAAAAAAACCAAGCCCAGCCCTATAGGTCAGATCCCTATTTACATAGAAGTGAACCTTTAAGAATTTCTGGAATATTTTTATTTTGATTTAACCTCTGTAAACAGGATTAAAATACTAGTATTTAAACTACTGTATATATGACAACAGTTGAGTCAATTATGATAATGCTATGATTTAAATGTACAGTGCCCAAAAAGAAGTAAGGGTTTGTTACATATTGCGTACTTTTTTCTTCATCAAAATTAAGAGACAGATAATTTCTTCATTCATTAAGATATTTCACACAAAGACTTCTTTCAATATTCTCTATAATATATGAGAACACCACAAAAAATACTGAAAGGAAAATGTAGCAATACTTTTACGTTCTTCAGAGAAATTTTTCATGCAATATAAAGAAGATGGGCGTGTTTGGCGTGTGATCTGCAGGAATAAGACGTACGAAACATTTATAGTTTAAATGTCTACGATTTGGTCGGTTGACCACAGCTGGACATACTTTACAAAGTTACGCACATGGGAAAATGTTACATTTAGTTTGAAATAGTTTGCCAAATTTAATATATCAGTCCGCTTATCTTAATAATTACTACATCTAAAACTTAGTAACGCTTCACATAAATAATAAACACATATAGGGTATAGCTAAATCCAATTACAAGTACATAGTTGTATATATTAAAGTATCAGTAGGTTGGAAGAATTGCTTTCGCTTTCGGTGAAACATAACCAGAATTTATCTATTTGAAAATAAAGCAGTTCAAAAATTAAACTGACAAAAGAATTGATTGTTTGTACAAAAAAAAATATTAACGCTCCATGCGAGGATCGAACCAAAAATATTTCTTTTTCATTGAACTGGACGGGTAACGGTTACTACTGAGCTATCACTGCTATACACACGTCAATGTTTTTTAAACGACAATGAAGCACCGCATTTACACATTGGGATTTTTTGGGGGGAAAAGTTCATTTTTTTATCGTCTCTGGGTCTTCTCTCCATTTTTTACAAATGTTTGTTAGTTTCTTTGAATTAAAATGCACACAAATAAAGTTTCAAAATCATGGAGAGATGACCCAGAGATAGCAAATTTTTAGAAAAATGTGTTTAAAAATGTAACATTTTGTACCAAATGACTCATCTAGCCAACTTTCAAGTTCTTTTTTAGCAAATCAAAATACAATATCGGTAAAATATTTCCCTTTCCTATTTCACAGGAACCCGATACATCAAAAGAATGCTAAAACTTCATGTGACAGATCAATGAAATTTTCACTTTTCAAGTGCGCCCAGATTCCTGCCGAATGCCAATCAAAAGCGCCCTTGTTCTTCCAGTTAATTTACATGTACTATAATTTTAAAGTTACAATTCTACTGATTTTTATAAATATTAATTTCAATTTTTTGTAAGCATTTTCGTTAATTTAAAATGCATTTTCTGTAAAATTGATGCTGTCTTCAAATCAGTAGTTTCTTTGCATTTTACGAACAGAACAGTCTGTTCTTGCAATGTGCTGCTACATGAAACTTAATTAGCATATAAAGGTATACTTTTTATTACCTAATATTAATAAGTAAGTGACAATAAAATTAATATCAAAGTTTCAAATATTTCTTCCACACAAAGACTTTTCGGACAAAGGCCTTCCTTTAAGGTCATTATAAAACTAATTAAGGTCAAGATCTAGTAAATGAAAGGTGCCTACAGATTTCTCAAATTTAAGAAATAAATTCCTTTAATGGTGCTTTATAACTTTAGCTTGGTCAAATAAGGTGTTTCGGGGCATAATATGTAGATGAACAAGACGAAAAATAACATTTTGAACTGTCATTTTCAATGAAAAATTAAGAAAACCAGTCATGAATATGGGAGTTTTTTTCCATATCAGACAAAGAAATGCATCCAGATTGCCTACAGTCTCTCAGAAAACGATAATTTATATGTTCTTGGCCTCTTCTTTAAAATAATATTAAATTAAATATAGGTTTCGGGATTACTTTTCACATGATTTCAAATTGAATTCCATTAAAGTACCTTATTTTCTACAAAATTCTACTAGAGCCGTAAAGTACGGGAAAAATAAAGTTAAAATTGATTATGACGTCATAATGGATCTAGCACTAAAAATTTATTCTAAAGTCATTTACTAGATCTTGACCTTAAGTCAACAAATTTTAGTAAAAGACATAATTGTTACATCTATATTTCAATAAAATCAAGTTGATAAAATTTTAAACTTTAGACAATTGTAACTCCCCAGTTTGATAGGGATTTTTGCACGTCGGTCTGATGCATAATATTTTTTGATCGGTCTTTGACGTATTGTGACGTCACCTGTATTGCACAGTGCGGAATCTAAGTATGCAATCAAGCACAAGCAGGAAAGTCTGCACACTTCATTTTGCCCAGTGACATGGAAGGCCGCATATTTGTCACTTGCTAAAGATGGAATTCTGTAAACAAGGTGTCCGTACACTCTGGCAGTAATATAAAATTGAATGATAGAGCACTCTAACTTAGTAGCTGTGCAGTGCAATCAGAGAAGTCCGCTCACTGTGTTAAATTTAGTAGTTACATACATAAACCCCGAATATAAAACATAAATAAAATAAAATATTTTAAAAAAATTAACATTTTATGAATGGATACTTTACAGAGAATATATATTTTCAAACTATTTAGTACAATTGAAAAGCCATACATGTATTATATTATTCCTGACAACAAATGATACGATTCCAGTATGTTACCAAATGATGTGCTATCACGCGAGTTATATTTTATAAAAGATAAATAAAAACGAAAGGTAGAACATGTATTTTATCAATCATCTAAAGCTCAATATTTAAGAGTCCATAAAACAGGTAAGAAAACATACTTTTATCAAAAATAAATAACGTTAATAAACTAGTTTTGGATGAAAATACTATGAACAACTTTTTACCCATTAAAAAGTTACCAGACATCACATGATCAGACGGTATATAAAGTCTAAATATTGCTTCAGAAATGAATTCTTTGTTTGACCAGACATTTTGAGCAACTGTAAGTTATTCAGAACAACGTAATAAAACGATTGCAATGATTTTTTTTTATCCTAACAATTAATGAAATAAAAAAATACTCTTGAAAATCTGATTTTGTAAATATTGCATTTAAGTACACCCCTTTAAATTACTTTGAAAAACTTAAGAAGTGAATTATAAAATTATGAGTTTTTGTTTTGTCTGTAAACACTATCTTTAATATAATGATCTTATAATTTAATGAAGGCATGGGGATACCTTGAAGCTTTTGATTTTGATATTCAAGTTTGATATGATACAAAGCTTCTGACTTGTTTATAATCTTTTTTTCACAGAATGCATTCCGTGTTGTATTTTATGGGATTAAGTGCATTTTTTGGTATCATCAATACTAAAAAAGTGTCACCCCTGCCAAGCCTTAAATCCTTTAGAGACGACTATGACAGTGTAGCTAAGACAGGTGTGGCTGTTGGTTATGTGAAAGACCATTGTAAAAACAACCAGGACATAAGTAAGGCATATAAATCAAAATCTTGATAATACATGCATAATAAGCACTTTTTTAAAACAATATATATATATATATATACATATGTAAAAAAAAAATTCCACACTTTCGTCTTAGGAAACTCGATTATAGCGTTCGAGGCTAGAGCCAAAGGAAGTGCTCAGACAGTAAGACAGGGGAACATAGTTAAATTTGGAGAAGTGGATCTGACTATGGGAGGCAGCTACAACGCAGTTAAAGGGATTTTCATCGCTCCAAAATCGGGGGTTTACATCTTTGGTTGGACGACACTTACGCCAAATGGTAGATACGCTTATACATCTCTAGTCTTGAATGGTAGAAGAAAGGCTTACAATTATTGTCACAATAACAATCACTCTATCACAATGTCATGTAGTAGAATGGCTGTAGTAAGACTGACAGCTGGAGATAAGACTTGGATTGACACTTTTGATGGAACAGCAACTGTTGAACCGAAATGTTCTTCCTTCTCTGGTTTCATGTTGTAAATGTAACAAAAGAGCAGTAAATGAAAACGTAATTACGTAACATTTTGTTTTTTTTTTGTCAATCCTCTTAAACTAACAATGATCAAATATATTTCGGGGAGATTTTCTCAAGGTGGTGTTGATTGATCGATATGGGGGTATACATGCTCTAGAAATTTAAGAAAGAAAGAAACTGTAACAAATATAAAATGAATATCAAATTCTAAAGAAAAAAAAGGTTTTTAAGAATGCATTTATGAAAATATGTCCAGAGATGGCTAATATATTAATATTTTAAAAATTTTTATTTTGGTATACTTTCCCCTACAATTTTCATCTTCATCAATTAATTGCTAAAAGTGATACAACATGAATTTTTACCATACATTGTCACATCTGATGAATACATATAGTAATTTATTGATTGATTGTATGTTGTTTTACGTCCCATTCGAGAATTTTTCACTCATATACCGGTGAAGGGCTTCAAATTTTGACCTTTACTCGGCACACAGGGCCATTGAGCAGTGAGGGATCTTTATCGTGCCACGGGGCCTCGGTTTTCAGGTCTCATCCGAAGGACCCGCAACTTTCAGTTCAAAGTGCCGAGCGCATGGCGAAGGAACAGTTGCTACTACCGACTGAGCTACCGTGAACGGTAAAAATGGTTTTAATTTGCTATTACATTGTTTTAAGACTTCCACACATTGATTTCTGTAAACATCTCATGAATTTAAAAAGTTATCTGTCTTATTGATATCATGGTCAGAAAACTGTCAAGACTTTCTATCATTTTGGGGGGTCGGGGTTAGAGTGTGGAGGGAGCTGGGGGGTTAGTTCATAAAATTTTATTCTTGGTATTCCAAACATTAATCGAAAAACAGAAGTGTCGGAATCTTGACAGAAAAGTTTCCTACCTCTTAAATTTTCATTTTTTACCAATGTACAGTTTTTTTTTTTAATTGGAATCCTTCAACAGCATTTCATGTTTCCATTGTAATACAAAAAACAATAAGAATCCTATAAAAACATTCGGTAATGTTCATTATAAACAATTTAATGTTTAATGTTGTTTAATAAAGTTGATGATGTAAGTATGGAACAACCTGAATACATCGTAAAAAAAGAAATAATTAAAAAGTCATCATATTCTACTCCTTTCTAAACATTGGAAACTTGTTAATAAAAATATAAATCTATGCAACTATAACTTTTGTATATATCAAGAAATCTGATGAAGTGTTGTAAAAAGACTCATCGTAAATTGTGCTGAAACTTTGGGACTTAAAGACCGTCTACAAAAATGTTACAATGCAATTGATTATTATATAGCCATTCGAAATTTAAACAATTGCATAAGAAAAGTATATCAACATTCGGTAAAAATAGTTGATATATTCAGTAAAGAATAGTCTCTTTAGTCTCTATATGGAGAGAAACATTTAACAAAAATGATATTATTTTGTCCGAAATAACATGGACAGTCATTTGATTTAAAAAAAAAAATCCAAATAATAATAATAATGATGATGATGATTGTGATAATAAAAATAATAATAAACAGATTACATAATAATGGCAACTTAAAGACTCAATACTGTCAACGTGCAGATAATGCTTTGGATACCAATGATTTATCGAATGTTAATGAATGAAATAAAAATACTCTTTTATTGATTAGTTTTTGTTTTTCGTATAACAAAAGAATTAATGCCTGGGGTTAACGTTGATTCTGTTAGCCCCTTGGAACGAACATATTGCCCTCCTCTACTCGTCAAGCAATATTACATCCATAATTACCCTGAACCCCAATCAATATTTGCATAATAAAATCTCATTATTTGTTTATCACAATTTTAATATAATGTATCTAAAAAAAAAAAAACAAAACAAAATAAATACTGAGCACGGAGGTTTCCTTTTATTTCTTACATATTCTTAAGTAAGTCAATTTAAATATGCAAATAATAATTGATATGTTTGATTGTATGTTGTTAACCTCCTATTCGATAATTTTTCAATCATACAGAGGCATCATGATTCGATGACATCGTATGCCTGTGAAGGGCGTGAAATTGAGACTAACATATCCATACTCGGCAATCAGAGCCATTGAGCAGTGAAGGTTCTTTATCGTGCCATTGCGCATGCCCACCGTGACGCGGGACTTCCCCTTTTTAGAGTATCTTCTCCTGCCGGGCGCTTAGGAAATAAACAGTCACTATCTATGTTTACATTTAGGTTTGACGAAGTACGGCAAACGGAATCGAACCTGTGCCTAAAATCACAGCGAACACCCTGAAAAATCTAAGAATGAATAATCTGATTTTTAGCAAGGATAAGTATTATCAATGTCTTTGTCTAGCTGACAATAATTTAAGTTCCACTGCCTAAATCTCGTAGATACGCTTGGATCAATTAATTAGGTTTGGTATGTGTAACTCAATCTTATAAGCTATGAGTTTTCTTTTAACTGTATCAGCTGTCACAACATTGATTTTCATATTTCCACTGAATCATCACCTCATGAGAGACGACAACGAATTGTACATTTGTCATCACGGGACAATTATTCACTGGACAACATTAAGGTACTCTAGAGCATTTACTTAAAAACAGGTAAACATACGATTCATTCTCAAAAGTACTTGAATTTTATGTAGATGTAATACGAAAATGCATGTGTCATTTTGTTAATAATCTTTTAAATATTTCACATACATGTAGAGTGTATTAATGGAAGTCGATCGATTTACAGTTTCATAATGTAATAATTTTTGAATTATTTTCTTTCTATAAATGTATATAGTTTTATTTTAATAAACACTTTCTCCTTTTGCAGATGAAGGGCTTTTCGATAACCGGATTATGTTTAGTTTTATTAAACACTAGAATATCAGCGTTAGATAACGGATTAGCTTTGACGCCACCTATGGGTTGGCTAACATGGGAAAGATTTCGATGTAATACAGACTGTGAAAGAGATCCAGAAAACTGTATAAGGTTTCATTATTCAACAATAAAATGTGCAATTATAGGTTTAAACACATGGCGCACATTCCTGAGTTGTACAGATTCCCTCGATACACGACATTCTTTTTGCCCCTCTTTTCATAGAATAATAAACTATTTGTTAATAGTCAAATTATTCTTATGTCAAAAAAATGTCACTGTGCAAGAAATAGCTTTATAATGCATTAATTGGTGATAGGTTTTCAAGTTATGTAGATAACTGTCTGTTTCAAATGGACACTAACAAATGAAATTTCTGTTTAATAGATATAAACATTTTTTTAACAGTGAGCGTTTGATAAAAGAAATGGCGGATATAATGGTGTCTGATGGCTACAAGGACGTCGGTTATGAGTATGTGATAATTGATGACTGCTGGCTGGCATCAGAAAGAGATCAAGATGGCCGACTAGTTCCGGATCCGAAAAGATTCCCATCAGGAATAAAGAAATTAGCAGAATATGTGAGTAAAACCTAATATCAATAGTTATTAAAAAGAAGGACTACTGATTAAAAATATATATTTATAATACATTTATTTGATGGGAAAATAGGAGATCAAAAGAAATTTTATCTTTAAATTGGAACAATCATTGTAATTCCGGATACAGGTTAAATCCGGACGTTTTATCTTCTCTATTTATTTTACATAAATACAAAATTATAATTTAATAAATAAATAAATATATAACTAAGAAGATAGGTAAATAAATTAATGAATAAATAAAAAAAAAATATTAAAAAATAAGAAATGGTTGTTTTTACATTATTTGTCTTCTGTAAAAAGTTTGAAATAAAATGAATAAAAGAAAGTTGGATCCAAAACTTCTGAAACCAAAGCGTATACGTAAATGTTACGTCATATCCGATAACAATCCTTTATTACTTTCACTTTTCAAAATAAGAGTTATCTTTCGTTGTCAATTACAGATAAATAATATGACATAAAATTATACAAGGACAAATTTAAACTGTAAAATTGGACAAAGATATCATCATATAATGTTTTCATTTTCGGAATTTTAGAAATTCTTCGTTTTGTGAAATTTTAGTGCCCGAAATTACATGTACATCAAAAAAAAGCTTATTTATGTTTTTTCCACCTCAATAGCAACATGTAATTTTATTTTCCCAAACTGGTTGAAAAACCACTCTTTGAAAGCTTCTTACAAGAACACAAATAAAAGAAGATAAAGAGGAAGTAAAGTTTTTGATCACATCATTGACCGATTTATTTTAAATCTGAAAAAAAAAAATCTCAGAATTGATGAGTTACATTAATTTAAAATTATATCAATTTAACATAAATTCATTCATTGTGTTTCTCCAGATGATTGGAACAATATAATTTCTAGACTCACTAAATGAATATTAAGTAAATTTTCAACATATATGTTCTTAGAAGTCTATCCATCTTCCTAACATCGAATTAAATAACAACTTTATTGATACAATTCATTCTAATGAGTTTTTTTTTTTTTGCATTAGTTAGATTATTACAGATAAAATCTAAGTTCTTCTATGTTCTTATCATGTCTGCGGATGGTGTCAGCAATTATTTATTGATTAAAAATATATTACAAACTTTCCCATTCCATTATAGATTGATTTTCATAAAAGTGTAAATGAATTCATTTATTATCAAAATCGATGATAAAATATAAGTTAGGTAGAAATGATGGTCATATTCTTGTCCAGAACTACTCTCATGTGTGTGCGGTTTAACCCCATCCACATGCTAATACATTTTTTTTTCAACAGGCAAGTAAATATTTGTTTCTTGTTTTTAAACAAAGTGCATTCTTAGTTATAATGATATATCAAACCTAACATATGATATTTAGCTGTTTATTTAATATATTGGTGTTTAATTGCAACAATTAAAAAAATCCTGCATTTCCCAGATTTTTCCTTATATTCAAATATATGCTTCATACTGAATTAGTTACAATGAAAGGAGGAATTATTTAATCAAGACATTGTGTTTATTAATTTTTTTTTACAGGTGCACAAAAAAGGTCTGAAGTTTGGTATATATGAAGACTTTGGAAAGAAAACATGTGGCGGATTTCCAGGAAGTGAATTTTATATGGAAACGGATGCCAAGACATTTGCAGATTGGGGTGTTGACTACTTAAAATTTGATGGCTGTTACTCAAATCTAAATGATTTTCAAGCAGGTACTACGGTAGTATATTATTTAAATCGTTAGAAAAGTAATCGATTATGATAAAAGAAACAGTAAGTCTTTATGAAAGAAGTGTCATTTCTTTATGATCTTCTTATGAAATATATTTTACATTAAGATTAAAATACAAAACATTGAATTTTTTAACAAATTTCAAAACCAAAATATTTTAGATTAAATCTGGAATTAACATAAAATCGATCTTTAAAGGTTATGAAGCCATGGGATTCTTTTTGAATAAAACGGGAAGGAAAATTGTTTACTCATGCGAATGGCCATTTTACAAACTAGTTAGTGGACTTTCTGTAAGTGTGCATTCATATAAAAGAATTTCTAATTTTTTAATTTTTCAAATTAAGCAGTGGCTTAATTGTATTTTTATGAGATGTTTGTTTAGATAAAATCATTTTAACCAGGTTGACTTTGCTGCAGTAAGAAATACCTGTAACATGTGGAGAAACTACTTCGATATTCAAGACTCATGGTCCAGCGTTATTGATATAATTAATTTTTGGGGTAATAACTCGAAAATTTTTACAAAGTATGCAGGACCCGGAGGTTGGAATGATCCTGATATGGTGAGTGTTTTAAAAAATCTAAGCCCTTTTGTTACATTACTGATATTAATCTAAAACATATTTTCTCATATAGATTATTTTAGGTAATTTTGGATTGAGCTATGACGAAGAAAGAGTGCATCTTGCTATGTGGGCTATGATTGCAGCTCCTCTTATAATGTCAAATGATCTCAGACACATGCGTAACCGCTCAAAAGCACTTCTTCAAAACAGAAATATTATTTCAGTCAGTCAAGACAAATTAGGAATGCAAGCCATTTTGTTGCAAAAGGTAGGGTATAAGCTATAAGATTGAAATTTGTGAATGTATATTTTAATTAAAAAAAGAAAATAAGGAGAACCACATAATTTGACATCAAGTCATATTAAACCATATGTGATTGGCTTGATCTGATTAATCTAAATATATGATGTGCTATACATGTTGGAGAGAGAGAGAGAGAGAGAGAGTACAAATGATTTATTGATTGAATCTTATTCACAAAAACAGTAAAGTTCTTAATTTTTCCCCAGGTAAATGGGATTCAAATTTGGTGTCGGAAACTTTCGGACAACCGAACTGCACTAGCTTTTCTTAATGAGAACTCTGATGGAATGCCAAGATACCTAAAAGTCTCACTGGAAGACATGAAACTATCACCAACCAGACCATATAATTTTACAGAAGCCTTTGAAATGAAAATTCATTTCATCATAGCAAAGGAAGACCATCTTGAAATGTATGTAAATCCGCATGGTGTTCAACTTTTTATTGCCAAACTGATGTAGAATATCAAGGACGAGCTACATGCACCAGCACCTAGACAAATGATGTGTTCATCAAGTAATGTTTTCTGGCGTGTATGAGGGTAGAAATTATGACTGCAAAGATTTCCCTTGTTTCCTGTTTAAAATCAACTTTATATATTTAGTTAAGAAATCAAATATACAATCGTATAAAAGGCATTTTTTTTCATATTCTTATAAGTAAATAGCGGATCATATTCTATCTTCATGTCTTCGTTTGTTTGAATCACATTCTCATTAGCTTTGATTTTCATGATGGAAAAGATGAAAGTGTTCAATCTCAAAACTCCTGTAAACAATATGAAAAGTGAATATTAAAAAACGCAGACCTTTGAAAATAGCAGAAATTGGATAAGGTGATTGGAGGAGTAAACATCCCCTGTCGAGCGGGCACAACCGCTATAACCCCCCTCTATCATAGAGATGGAGAGGAGAAATTTAGAATTAAACAATGGCTTTGCCAATGGTTAACCAAAGCTATGATGTGTTAAGAAACAAGGCCAATATAAACCATATTTGTAAAAATGCTGATATACAGCTATATTGGTAAGAGCCCTGTTGCATCAACTTATTACTCAGTATCTTGCCTTATTTTTAAACTTGAATGTACTGTCTGATCATACATATAACCATTCCCCACGATAAATTTCAGGCTTTTTGACATCATAGACAGTTGCTTTTTCAATATAAATGGAACTCGTATATATATTTACCTAGTCATTGCACATTTGCAAAATTATTTTGTTAAAAAGCATTCTTGTTGTACACACAAGTACACTGAAGTTGATATTAAAAAGATGCTTGAGTTTTGATTGACAGTATCTATGTAGTTTTTGGAGATCCAGTCTTTCAAAAATCTTTTGGAATACCCCCAGGTACTAATTGCACCCCCTTATTAGCAGACCCATTTTTATATTTATATGAACCAGAATTTATCTAAAAAAGTTCTACATAAAAAAAGAAAACACTTGCTGTAGCCTTTAACTCGACATTTCAATATATCGACGACGTATTATCAATTAACAATAGCTAATTTCATTCATATGTCGACTCGATATATCCCAGTGATCTTGAAATAAATGATACCACAGATTATGGCACAACAGTTTTATATTTAGATATTTACTACAAAAAGACGTAAATGTTAACCTAACAACAAAACTTTATGATAAATGTGATGACTTCAACTTTTCAATCGCCAGCTTCCCTTACTTATGTAGGAATATACCCTTATCACTTGCATATGGGGTTTTTGTTTCTCAGTTGATTCAATACGCAAGGGCAAGCCCTACTATGAACAATTTCTAAAACGAGGCAAGCTATTAACAAACAAGTTGATGAAAAGGGAGTTTAAAAGGTTATACAGTGAATATTAAGTGTGATTCATATGCAATAAGTGTTCAAGAATCAGATATGCTGACCTGTTTTCATATTTGTTTTTAATCATAAAGACAGACAGTTTTTTTTGAAATCCCGATCAGCATTTTCCCAGTCGTCCTCAACAGTGATGCAAGAAACCAAGTCTACGCCGCATAGTTTGAAATATAAATTTTGTCGATATTGAGGGCCTGTGTGTCTGGAAAGTGCTGCTAGGATCGTGTAGTTAACACGAATTGATGAAAAGTCTTCGATCGTGTGCACAAATTGTAAAAATGATTGATAAATACAATATATTTTAAGGTATTTTTGTTCTTATGGGTGATTATTTTCCACAGCATTTACAATTTGTAAAATAAATGTACATAACTATCATGAGTAAGTAGACACTAACACGAGTCTGTACAAGCATAGAAAACAAAAGTGTGTAAAAAAATACAATTAAATCAAAAAAAAAAAAAAAAAAAAAAAAAATCAGTTTTTACAGTGTACTAATATTTGAGACAGACATAGCATCAAATTAAACTTTACTTTACTCTTGAATTAAATTTTGACATCTAAACAGCCATATGTTTTTCCTAGTTTCGGTTTATGAATTTCTGAAGATCGAAAAGTGCATGTCGTTTTAAGATATACAAAATCGGGAAAAGGTGGCAAAAGGGCAGACGCTACCTAGACAAAATAAAAGCCAAGATGTTCACCTAAAACGTGTCTCCGAGATGGTTGATTTGATTTTAATAGAGCATATCATGAAAAGTTACTGAACTTAAACTCCGTCCGAAAAAAGGGGGGGGGGGGTGTTGGTTGACGATATGTTCTTGTCCTTTATCCACTATTCAGGGAAGTACATTACTTAGTTTGTGGTTTGTTTTGAAAATAAGTAATTCTTATTTTCCTGCAAATATTAAATGTATTTTATTGAATTTTACATAAACTTCCAGTGCTCATGGAGAGTTATGACCTTAAATTGCATAGTAAGAATAAGAATCATCCTTCATGCTGTATTATATATAATATCCATAAGAACCGGGGAAGGGGAGGGGGACATAGTTTTACCATTATATACTTAACAATAGAAAGCAAAGCTTATTAAAAGTTTTACTCCTCAAAAACTTCACCAGTAAATACTTTACAAAAGAATATACATGTAAAGGTAAGTTACGGTCGTGCCCCTCAAAAGTAAATTGACTTTTTTGTTTTTTTTGTTTTTTGTTTTTTTTTTTGTTAACATTTTCTGTTAGGCTGACCCCCCCCCCCTTTTCAGCTAAAATTAGCTCCCACAGCCTGTGCATATTAAGTTAAGTCTACTTTATTTCGTTACACTTAATAATATTTTCAAAAAATATATGTAGCAAGTTAAATTTATAGGTGTTAGTTGTTTATTAACTCGACAAACATCATTTAAGTAGAGTTTTGGTTTATTTAATGGAGATTGGCAGTTTCAACGCTTAGCACTTCACCCGTATACCTTATAATATTCCATAGACATCAAAAGAACTGATTTTCGATACCAATGAGTTAAATTGCATTATGTTCTCTCAATGTGGCCACTCTTTTTCTTGACTCTTTGCAAAATCCAGATCTTTGGGTTTCGAATAGACGATATCCTAAAGCAATTAAAAAAAAAACATTATTAACATGAAACTGAAATTCTTTGAACCAGTCGTTTTCTCAATACAGAACTTACAATTCATACTGATAATTGCAACCGCCAAAACAAGAAACAATTTATGACGGGACAGCAGTACAAAGCAGTATATATATATATATATATATATATATATATATATATATATATATATATATATATATATATATATATATATATATATATATATATATATATATATGATGCAAGTTCAACGTCATACACTTTGCAGCATAGCTGGTGGATTTGTTTTAACCAAAAAACTTTAGAGACCAACTCCATTGATCAGCTTCAAATGATCGTGGACAGTTTTCAGTCGCAATCTCGGCTCTCCAGTACCCTGCATGACAGTGGCTGGAATGGAAGACTTTCCTAAGCCTCTAAGGGGAATACAAGAGTACCACTGATTTAAAGTACAGAGCTTGGTATTGTGTCCGTAGAAGAATGAGTTTCATTAGCAGAAGTGAGGATCAGCATATTAAAAGACGAGAAATCGTAACCAGGATAGGCCAGTAATGTTATCCCATTGGTCTCACTGACTCTCGTAAGCATTTACCTGGTCATAAATTTCCCATCGGGTCTGTCAACCGCTTGAATAACGTACATGTAATGACACTCAGCTTTGTTTTGTATTTAGTTTCCTGTTTCTTTCCTATCATAATTATTTTCTTTGTCTTTTCAACAATATTTACTAAAAGCAAGAAGTATAATCTACCTTTATGAAATTAAATTGACCAGACCCAACCTGACACAAAGCAGTCCCGGGGACTGCTTTCTGGGACTGCTAAAGCAGTCCCACAGCGGTCCCAGAACAGTCCCACAGCAGTCCCAGAGCAGTCCCATAGCGGTCCCAGCAGTCCCAGTGGACGGGGTTAATTAATTTAATGGGCGAAGCTTACTCAGAAATGAGATTACCAATAAACAATGTAACTATAAAAGGCAGTTGAAATTGATGATCATTTCTTTCTGAGTAGTATCAACAAATATTTACAATTCTCACACGACAGTCATTTCTGAACTGCTAAGAAAATTACAGTATGCGTATTGAGATAAATAATTATTATTGAACGAAGAAGACATTCACACCAATTAATAACATGAATATTTAAACACAATTATTTGGTATATTAATTTTTCACCAAAATAAATCAATGTCTTTATTTTCTGTGATTGATATTGGTTTTTGTATTGAATTATTATTATTATTTTTTTTTTATAGAAAATTAAATTTAAAGTGTTTATTTTCTACCAGAATTAGCTTTAAATAGATCTTATAGTTATAGAGCAAGGCCATTTCCTATAATTTACTTTGAATGCATTTTCCTAAGTATTGGAGCTTTTGAAAAATTCTTTGATAAATTTTGCCGAGTATTATATTTCAGTCATGATTATTTTTAATGACTTGCCAATTTAATTATTAGATTTTCAGTTTTAAGTGTTTTATAATAGAAATGTACAAGTGTTCATCTGTAAATCACGAGAATGGAACTCTCAGATTATCTTCAAAATTAATTAATCCCGAAATAAATTTGTACACAATTATTGAAACAAAGATTTGTTTTTTTGCACTACATATAGATTGAAATTAGTGTCATTGTTGACCAGCGTGTAACTCTGATACACAAGTGACATGCATTGACTTTCTGCTAATTATGCCCAAAGGCGATTGAAACCTCAGGTGTTGACACCATTTTATAACATATTGCATTGTCTTTTATTAATCGACCAGGTAAACACAAACAAAACAAATAAGAAAGAGGTCACAATTCCCGATATTTTTAAATGTTTATTTTTTAATAAATGTACTCTTTTACTTGTTTATAAATTAAAAACTAATTCATATATAAATCCCACCATTATTTTTCACATTGTTTTTGTGACAGAAGAATGGTAGAATAATTCTATTTCATGGTCATTTAATAAATTATAAGGTTTTATTTGAGGGCGGTATAAAAAAAGCATGGTGTGCTCTTTTTAAGCATGGTATTAGCTTTTTCAATTAGGAAAAAAATCCAGTACAGTACATCCCTCTGAATATCTTACTGATATGACAAGTTTGTTTGTTTTTTGTTTGTTTGTTTTTTTTTTAATAATGCTAATGCAAATTTGAGTACATAATTTAATAGTATTAATTTATTAAATAGGCTAGATATATTTTTTTTAAATACCTGT